AATAAACTCCGTAATGGGCAGAGTTTCGCTGTTCATTATTTATTTATTATATATATATTTACAGTCAGTTATCAGTTATACCCTTTTTTCACGGACCAGTTAGAAATTAGGTTTTTGTCAGCTGTGTAAAATACGTTCGGAATGTAGTTGTTTCGTACGATTATTTTTTCGATTCAATTGTTTGCTGATGAACTCCAGTTTAGTGAGTAAACTTGAGAACAGAGAATTTTAGTTCAAATCAATTTAATGGTATGGACTATCATAGTTACAATTTTTTTTCAACTGAGTTTTTCATTATATGAGGCAGCGGATTTGCTATTAAGGATGCACAACCATTTTCTAGGTTGCCAATAATATTTCAGGCACTGTCGTTAATGCTTGAAGCCCCTCTAACTAGACTCAATTTTTGCATTGCATTCGTCATTCGACGCTGCGTTTTGGACATTGCAATACCCGTGTTTTTCGTTGCCATGCAAGCGTTCTCACATGAGCTGCTGTGGCAGCTCTAATCGAATTACTCGTCTCATTCAGGATGGACCTTTGACTCGGATGAATGAATTTAGATTGCCTGACAGGAATTGATCCAATTCCTGATTCCTACCATTGTGAGCTAGAAATGTTTCCTACATTTTTGACAGCTGGTAAAACGGGCTCACAATGATATCATGCAGTACGCTCGCTTTTCGTGGATGTCATTTATGTTATTCGATGTGACAAGCTCTTTAGAAGTTTAGAGGTCAGGCGTTGGCTGTGTCGCTTGCGCATCATGGTTGACCGTTGAGGGGAAGAAAATTTCTGTTGATGATTAAATTTTGGTTCATTAAAAAGTTTAATTGCAAACCAGCTTGCAGAGTCGTCCATTATCATGCATTAGCTTTCGTTCAAACTGAACGAAAATCTTAGTTTGCGCTTAGTACTGCACTGTGACCGGCCAATCCGGACCTATGATCTTTACCAGAATACTTAGGAAGCACTAGAATACAAACTGAAATTAAATTCGCAAAATTTCAGGACTGATATTCTAAATTCCAGGACAGAATCGTCCTCGTCACATTCAAGAAACGTCAGTACTATTATATTTGAATTAAAATTTACGATCGATAATATGGACCATGACATGTTGAAGTAAGCATGATGCCTGTAAGTCAAGAAGCAACATATGAAAGAAATCATCAAAAAGTAAAAATTGCAGCCGAAGACGAGCGCGCCAGAGTTTGGGATCGGCCGAGAGGAAGCTTCAAGAGCTCAGTCTTCCTAAGCATACCATTACGATGCTATTATTCTAAACTTACCATTACGACTCTGTTTCACTTCCATTAATTATACGACCAAAGTCCTAGAGCAGCGAAGCGTTAGTTAAGGACTGACTGTCTCGCAACTTTTGAATGATGTTCCTCATTGTGCTGACTTGACGTTACTACCTGCTCTTGATCGAGCAACTTTACAATAGGGAAACGTAGAATTGTTCGTAACTTTCCCAGAATTCTTCGATTTTCGTGAAAGTTTCAGGGAAACCCGAGTCATCCGTCCATTTGTGTGATGCATCGTTTCTTGTGGATCTGAGAGACTTACGAGGTTCGGCTTAGCGAGGCCATAGTGCTCTACCTTCTTAACATGGGATGCCTTTCATTGAACGACGGGAGTGTTTTGCCGTCGAGCTTCTTTCAATGGGCTTCAGTTGCAGTGTTTGATTTATCAACTGTCTGCATGCAATTTATTTCTTTGATCCTCAAATTTGACCGATGTATCAAAAATTAAAATGAAGCTCATGATTGTACCCAATGAAAGACTTTTGCTCCAAATGCTGATATTTGAGATAAGAATGAATCTTTAAGATGATATTAGTTGACTATGGTGGACTTCCGTGGGCGAAGGAGTACATTAAATATTTGAACAATCCTGTGAGGATATAATTGCATTATACATTGAAGCTAAGTGACTATTTGTCTTACGTAGTACGAAATTAATACAAACTCCATTCATTTTGTGACCCTGGCATGAGTACACATGCATGTAATAAGTTCAAATGGATGAAGTTTAACTGTTTCTTAATGCTCTTGTGCGCAAGTAACTTGGATGTACTTTGATAGCCTGTTTTCATTTACGTATTTTCTCACTTCCATTTGAAATCAAAAAGACGGGGCGCTGCTATTTAACATATAATTACTCGGAAGTTACTTTGATGTCCCAGCCAGTTTTTAATTTGCATTCGCTTCCGCTGCCGAGGAAGGGACAGTCGTCGTAGCTGGCATGTGGGAAGTTGTTTTGATTCCAGTTTGCATGTGAGCGACTCCGGCGCTTTGCCTGTGCACTTGGAAATGCTTTCATGAAACCTGAAAGGATCTGGATGCTGACCCTTTTTATAGATATTGACGTCTGTCACTGACAGGAGGCGCATGCATATAGCTGGCAATCTGCTGCTGCTGCTGCATTTCCATTCCTCTTATCGGAATTGCATCTCTTGTCGTGCTACTGCCGCTGTTGCTCCAGTGCCGGACCAAGAGTTGGACACTTGAACAAATCGCAAGTATTTTTCACAAGATGAACATCGTGGACTTGATACCAGACGTGCATCCGAGGTTTATTATTTTTTATATATAATCTAATTTTTTATTGACGAAACTTGAATTTTCTATGATGCGTGACATTATGAACAACGTTTCATAGACCAAACTCATGGCATTGATCCTGTTGCGCATAATATACATGCGCTGTGGAAAATTCTGCTTCGTAATATTTCTTCAATTTTCTATTAATATTTATTTTTCCTATTTCACAGTACGCATCAGTTGTCATATTCTCATATTAATCAGAACTGCTCTCATTTCTTATTGTTATATTACGTTTATTCCTAGGATTCCCTAGAAATTATTTTGAAAACTTTTTAATCTAGAAACATTATTTCTGCGCTCTCTCAAGCGAATAAAAACCTCGTCTTTTTTATCTCTCATTTGTAAACATTTTTGAATTTGATATTCCGAACACGTTACACGTGTCACTTGAACATTCTTCATTGTCATTGTATTTCATTCATTATTCCAACTCTGAGAAGTCTGGAATAATTCCGATATATTTTCCTATCATTCCCGTGCATTTACGAGCATCATTCATTATCATCATTGTATTCATTCTTCCAACTCTGAGAAGTTGTGAATAATTCCGATATATTCTCCTATGTTTTTTGTGCATTTCTGATCATCATTCATTATCATCATTGTATTCATTCTTCCAACTCTGAGAATTTGTGAATAATTACGATATATTCTCCTATCATTCCCACGCATTTATGATCATCATTCATTATCATCATTGACGTCATCTTCGTACCTGATGGCCTTGCGCGTCTCAGTCGCTGGTGCTGCGCGCGGTCAAGCTCAGGGGCCATACCTTTAAAAGAAGTTAAGAGATCGTAAGTTCATCAGCCAATCATTGACGGCCTTTCAAGCCAAATCCACCAATCATAGACAAAAAAATAGAGCGTAAGTACTTACGTTCACTTAGCGAATTTTGAAAGTATAGGCCCCAGGTCCAGCACCTCCCACACGTTATGATGACGTATTTGTGCGAGCTCAGCCGAGCTGATCACCATTATTGATTGGAATAATGAAGCAAAACTACAGCGTTTTAGTATTATTTTAGTATTTACAATATTCGGAGAGCTTACGACCGCTGTTATTACACTTTGTTCATTTTTTACCTGGTATGTAGAACGGTCATGATAGAACTTATGATCATGTGAGAACATTAGATTAAGTGAAATTTGAGAGTGTGTTAGAACTTGGATCATTTTTGATGTCACGATTACAGTAGAATTTGCTCATTGTGGACCTTATTATTGGGAAATTTCTCATCACAGTTCAACTTCCGACTGTTTCTTTTCAAGTTCCAACTCACCTGACAATGGGTCGTTGAATCGTTAAATTAAACTTTGTTTGATTGAATAAACGGAATCGAACTTTTTTTGGTTGAATCAACGTTAAATAAACGTTATTAAGACGAATTAACGTTAGTTGAACGTTTTTTCAACGTAAATTCTCTGGTGGAAATATTTTTCGTTGTTCTGGCTTGCGTGCCTCAGGCTGCCCGCTGTGCCGTGCCTGCGGGCGCGCGGTGTAACGGGCCACGCGGGTCAGGGTCGCTCATGCCCAGGTCACGGTGCCCGCATGCCCGAACAACCGAGCCCGGATCAGAGCCTGGGAATTTCTTGTTATTGCTCTTCACTGTTGACATGGATAACTTTTTAGCGCATTTTCTCATTTATGGAAAAAAGGCGCTATTGTGCTCGTCATGTCCGTCCGTCCGTCTTTCCGTCCGCCCGTCCGTCCGTCTGTCCGTGACTTCACGTTTTCGTCGACGAGAAAATGAGCTCTCTGTCACTCACTGCACACAGTGAGTACTAAGTTATATTTTTTATGTTATGGTTTCTCACTGAGTAAAATTAAGGTATTTGGCCATTAAAGTTCACCTACAATTCAGGTTAGTGCGCATCATCATGGAAAATAAATATCACAAGAAAAGGGAATAATTCGCGTTTACAATTCTTTATTGAAATGAACAGAGTTCAAGTCATAATAAAATTGTTATTGTGAGTAGAAAAATCCAGGCGCTGTAGATAATAATTAATATGCTACACATGAATTGGCGATTAATGTTTATTAATTGTATTTCTTGCTATATTTCCCGAATATATTTTCTATTCTGCTATCACCTGAGAGTGTTTCATCAGTTTTTCCATTGTGTTTTATCGGTTTTTCAATTGCGTTCCATCGGTTCTATCAGCAAGGCTAAATAGATATTTTGTTGAAAAAAGGAATAAATTTAATAATTTTTTCTTTCGTTCCCTGACCTGGGACATGGTAAATGCCCGGATATTATTGCTTGTGTTGTTCATGGTATCACAGCTACTACCTAGTATTGTTGTTTATCTGTAGAAAATGCAAAATGAACTTTACCGTAATCTATGATTTGTCCGGTAAAACGTTTTCTTCTTCTTGCAGGTGGGTGAGGTTAACGGTCTTCACGAAACTCCCTGGAATGTCCGTTGTCAAAGGTAAAGTGAAAGAAATTAATTATTAGTTATTATTATTATAATCTAATTTAGCCAAAGCAGCTGTAGCTGACATTTAAGACAAATTTTATTCTTTTGAATATCAATTATGATCAGCATTCCATGAAATTATAAGCTTTCAGAGGTAAAAATTCATCTTATTAGTAAAACTTGTCTTATTTTCTCTCATCGTTTAAGGGGAGATCCTGTAATTTCTTCCCCAAACTGCAAAATCGATCAGCGAATGTTTGTGTTTATTAATGGCATGTTTGCCGCCTGCTGGTCCCTGTATTGCTGTGAGATGGAGCATGTCTGTTTTGGTGCTCTCACGGCTGCCAGCTGCCGGTGTTGTTCCAAGGGAAAGCTTCAGGCCAAGAATGTGTCTGTCAAAACTGGCAACTTCATCGGATACGCTGTGGCTGTTGCACGCTGCGTTCTTTGTCTGGGCTCGCTTAAAATACAGCCGGTGTACAGGTTTTTGAGTTATGACTTCAAAGAAATACTATCACAACCGAGTTGTATTTGCGCTTGTGACACTTCTATTCATAATCATGTGTTACACAGTTTCCACATCTGTAAATTTTCGACGTTATTTATTCGCGTTTCTTTCTGTTTCAATTCATGGCCCAGTTTTTCTCGAAAATTCCTCCTGTAACTATTTTTATTAGCAAAAGTTAAAAGCAAGAATATTTTTTATTGCTATACCTGAAGTGATTAATTTCCCGGCAGTGTTTGTAGTTGGCGGTTTGTTTACCTAATTTATGAAGAAGACTCGACCGGGCTCGGCTGACTCCGTCGCAGCAAATCCCTCATCTGGGACGTTTTGGCGACTCCTTTCCTAATCCAATGCTAATTTAGCGTCGTTAGAAAACTTGGTCAACTGCCTGAGTCAGATAATCGATGATGGCTCCTGATGAGCCCCGGTCCTAGGAAATCATCTCTGAAAATTCGATGAATTCCCTTGCCTGATGAATGTTCAAGTCAAGGTTCATCTCATTTGACAGGGAAACGAGGAATGAAGCTGTTATCGAAAACAGACTATTTCCGAATTTCAATGAGCTCCAGACTAAGATCCGCTAAGGAATGGTTTAAACTTGAATCATTCAGTATCCACTGCACTTTCATTTCTCTATACATTAATTTTTCTTTTATAAATCGCGCTTCTTTGAAACAATGACGATTTTTTTTATTGCCGACTTAATTTTTCTATTAAAATATTTTTTAAATAATCATATAAATTATAATGCGGAATGAGGTTGTACATCTTATTAATCTTACGCATTTAACTGCCGCTTTACTTGGCCGCAGTATTGGTAAATATTCTTATTATAATATTCTACTTCATTAATGCAGCAATACTGCATATTAAACTCTCTTCTGTTTCCACCCTAATAATCAGTATTCTGATTATGTTTCCACTATCTTCTACTAATAGTAATACGGATGTCAAAACATGAATGTATGATAGGAATGAAGATATGAATGCCGATGTTGGGTCTGATATTTATGTATGAGGGCATGGGGCGCTTGGTGTGAAGAAGATCCATACGGTACAGATACATACATGTCTCTTATACACATCTAGATGTGTATAAGAGACAGCAGTACACCNTTCAGCTCTTCAAATACACACACGGTCACACACCTGTCTCTTATACACATCTAGATGTGTATAAGAGACAGTTCTAGTAATCCTTCGGGGACCTTGTATAGACCATGAGTATACTTGTATACTTCAATGAGGTCCCCACGCAGACTGTTTCCTCTGTCACATCCAACTATTACTATCTTTAATATGTTTTAACTTCGAGCCTTTTTAGGAAGAATCCTAATTTGGTTCATTTTACAAAAACACGTCTTCTAGTATAAGTTGATTCAATTTGTATATGATTTTTGTTGATGATATAGTTATGCAGTTATTGATATCCTAAAGCTCACAACACTATAGTTAAAAAAAAGAAAGGTTTTTAAGACTGAAAAGTTCTCAAATAATGAATAATAGATGGCTTGTTATTGTATTAGGTAATGATATTTCGTATAAAAAGACATGTGCACAGTTTTTTGAGGTTCTTGATGGATTGAATGTCAAGCGATCAATTAATTTTTCTTACGCAAACGATTTTCGTTGAGGAAAGTTTAAATGCGCATGCAAGGTCGAATCTGCATAGCTTTCTTTTTGATCAGTTTTATACCACGTCAAAGTTATGACTGCTAGTAGCGAGATGGAATTTTTTCGGTTGTCCAAACGGCTTGGATGACCTTGCAGTTTTTTACGTAGTGACGCATCCATTATTTGAATGCGGGCACTCGTCCTGTTTGCTAAGCCGTTGCAGGACTTTAACTGACTTCGGGAACAGGTTTTGGCTTGGTATCGTATCCAAATCGTGAAGGATATTCCCGGAATATCCTTCAAACAATTTGACATTGGGATCCTACTTCTTATGGTACATCTCTCATGGTTTTTATTGTACATCTCTTTTCATCCGTTGTTCTTGAAACCATTTGACATCATGATCCCTCTTCTTGATTTTGTATTGTACCTATCTTTTCATCCGTTGTTCTTTCTACCATTTATCGACGAACTAATTCCATTACTTCCTCAACTCAATTTGGTAAAAAATTATTGTTGAAATATAAATGTATCATCTTGGGCGATGAAATACAATTTATTAATAATTATGAAACTAACACGAGCTTCAATCATTTGAAATTATCAATTCAATACTTGATTTCCCTCCAATTTTGAACATGCTGCTTGATATTTTAGCCACTGACTCAGCAACAGAAACTTGAAACTTTATATTTGAGTGGAATTAATTAGTATATATGAATATTGCGTAACGTTGATTTTTGAAGAACAGCTAGTTTTCGTCGATAAAAACCTGTTCGGATAGAAATTTTTGCATTTTTCTGTTAGGGTAGGGCTCCGATTGAAGTAATACTGTACAAACGTACAGATATTTATTTCTAAATTAATATTTATACGTTTTTAAATTTTACTTTTTAACGCGAAAAATGTTCTCTATAAAATGCTGCTCTGATCAGCCACCTGCATGTATGAGCATTGCAGTTAACTGCATATATGGGCAGTGCAGTCAACTGCATATATGGGCAGTGCAGTCAACTGCATATATGGGCAGTGCAGTCAACTGCATATATGGGCAGTGCAGTCAANCTACGGTCACCTGCATGTATGGGCACTGCAGCCACCTGCATGTATGGGCACTACGGTCACCTGCATGTATGGGCACTACGGTCACCTGCATGTATGGGCACTGCAGTCACCTGCATGTATGGGCACTGCAGCCACCTGCATGTATGGGCACTACAGCCACCTGCATGTATGCGCACTACGGTCACCTGCATGTATGGGCACTGAGTTAAAGCCCTGGCGTGGCGCGGCGCAACGGTTCTACCTGGGGATTTAAATTCAAACGCCCCAGCGAGCGAACGAGTGACCACCCGCTCCTTCAACTCAGCATGGGAGGTTGCTCAGTCTTGACGTTCACTTTCGAGGCATAATACACAGTTTTTAACTTGGGTGAGAAATGCAATTTGTAATACTATTTTACAACACTAATTGATACGCTGTCCCTGTTGATATTCGAAATCAAAAAACATTTTCTTCGATTGATGGTCTCTCGGTATTTTTATTATGAAATTGTGTGCTGGCCTGGGCAATACCATTACAACTCCGTCTAGATTTATGAATGGTGTTAATGAGAACGGTACTCGTTATCGTTACCACTTAGACGTTACTAACTTGTCCAAGTTGTAAAGTCACGATATGTAGGTCTCTATTACAGTGGCTCCCAAACGATGGCACGCCAACACTTATGTGTCCACGAGCAATAATTTTTTGTTAGTTGTGTTTCCTTAAAATACAAATAACTACTTTTCTATTTATTATACAACAAAAATAAGTGTAATACCTCACGAAATAAAATTTAGGAATGATTACTATTCTAGCGCCCTATATTTGAATTCAAACAGTGGACTAATTTACTTTTAATTGACTTCGCATTGAATTTCATAAGGTGTAATTGATACTACTTTCTCCCGTCGACTGGGCCTCTTCTCCAACGTCGACTGGCATTGAGCAGAAAGATTCAGCCTCAATTTTTAATGTAACGGTTGAAAAAATGTTAGGTCTAGAATCTGCTAATTGGTCCCTTTGAGCAATTACGACAAGTGCGTTATAAAATCGAGCTTGAGTAATTGGCCCTTTAGAGAATTTAATTTTTTTACACGTTGAAATTTTTCAAAATAATCAGTTGAATAAAAGTCAATACAATAGTTTTAGCTACTGAGCTGAGGTGTTCTCTACTGAAGTGATGTTCTCTGTGTTATTGAAGTAAGCCTATACATTGTTTTGCGCTTACATTTTTTGGAACTCAATTGCCAATTGGCAACTAGCTACATCATTTGAGATGTGAAAATCAAGGTTACATGTCTTATCCATTAATTTCTTTTATGATCGGTTAATTGCAAAGAAATTCGTTGTCGCTTTTGTCAATAAAAAAGGAGGTTATTGACTTAGCAGAAGATTGTAAGCTGTAAATGTTTTTCCTTGTTCTAATACACTGGAAATGTTCTGTTAAACTTTTCTTCGAGTTGATGTGTGAAATGACTCGACAGCCATCCGCTCTTGCCTCGAGGCGTCTATAGAGCCGAAGAAACCAGTTTACTTGTACCAGAGATTCGCAGTATAGTCTGCACAACTGATAAAACTAATTTTTTATTCAACAATAAAAATTTTTTGTGTAATTTTGTGTGTCGGTTTTTACCGCTTACCGCTTACATAATTCTAGCCGTCATTCTCCATGAACAAATGTATGATAACATACGTAGCAGCAAATAAGCTTTTCAAACTTTCATTATGAATTTTCCCACACGAGCCGAAATAATTGTGCAGCTTCCCGAGTGTCATGTTCTAGCTAAGTCTTACGATTTATCCTAGCTGCACAATATTTCATATGGATGGTATTTTTAGTGTGTTGTTT